ACTACTACTACGACTACTATTACTACTACTACTACTACTACTACTACTACTACTACAAGTACCACTACTACCATTACGAATACAACTACTACTACTACTACTACTACTACTACCACTACTACTACTACGACGACTACTACTACTACTATTACTACTACTACTACTGCTGCTGCTGCTACTACGACTACTACTGCTACTACTAATACTACTACGACTGCTGCTGCTATTACTATCGCCATGACTACTCTACTACTACGACTACGACTACGACTACGACTACTACTACTACTACTACTACTACTGATACTACTACTACTACTACTAGTACTACTAGTACTACTACTGATACTACTGATATTACTACTACTACGACTACTACGAGTACTACGACTACTACTAGTACTACTAGTACTACTAGTACTACTAGTACTACTAGTATTCCTACTACTACTACACCTACTAGTACTACTACTAATACAACAACTACTACTACTCCCACCACCACTACTACTACTACTACTACTACTACTACTACTACTACTACTACTACTACTACTACTACTACTACGACTACGATTACGAACTACGAAAACTACGACGACTACAACTACGACTACGACACGGACTACGACTACGACTACTAACGCTACTACTACTACTACTTACTACTACTACCACTACTACTACTACTATTACTACGACTACTAAACTACTACTACTTTACTTACTACTACTTACTACTACTATTACTACGCCTACTACGACTACTACGACTACTACTACTACTACTACGACTACTACTACTACTACTACTATACTACTACTACCCTACTCTACTACTACTTCCTATACTAGTACTACTACTACTACTACTACTACTACTACTACTACGACGACGACGGCGACTACTACTACAAGTACTACGACTACGACAACAACAACAACTACTACTACTACTACTACTACTACTACTACTACTACTACTACTACTACTATTTGTCCTTCCACTTGTATTCCTACTACAAGTTGTCCTGTTTACCAGTAGTTCAACTAGTTTCTACGATGATTGCTACTACCACGACCTCCTTTTCATGTCGCCCCGTTGCTCGCAGCCGACAGCCATATGTTCCAACCGGATAATGGGGAGCAGGGGGAACATCGGTGCCCTGATTCTTCCCACCGCAAGGGCGATGACAAGAAAGCAGCACTATCTTCCAAGCGATCTGAAAGGGTCCGTCTCCCCGGGCGCGCAGCCGACTCACCATGCTGAAGAAGCCTGTGCTCTGGCACGCGGGCCCCCCAAATTATCCTGGCGAAAGACCCAACCATAAGCAATTGTTGGTAACGCGTTGTGGGTGCCGCTTTCGGTGGGGCTCCATATGGGGCCACGAAGCGCTGCCTTGGATAGGGGGAACCGCATGCGGACTGCGCCACCGGGGCGGGCCTTCGGTGGAGCTCCCTATGGTGCCACGAAACGCTGCCCTGGGTGGGGGAAGCGCATGCGAACTGCGCCACGGGGGCTTTCGGTGGAGCTCCCCATGGGGCCACGAAGCGCTGCCCTGGGTGGGGGAACCGCATGCGAGGGCAGCCACTGGGGCCTCCGGTGGAGCTCCCTATGGGGCCACGAAACGCTGCCCTGGGTGGGGGAACCGCATGCGAGAGCAGCCACTGGGGCCTTCGGTGGAGCTCCCTATGGGGCCACGAAACGCTGCCCTGGGTGGGGGAACCGCATGCGAACACCCCCACTGGGGCCTTCGGTGGAGCTCCCTATGGGGCCACGAAACGCTGCCCTGGGTGGGGGAACCGCATGCGAACACCCGCCACTGGGGCCTTCGGTGGAGCTCCCTATGGGCCACGAAACGCTGCCCTGGGTGGGGGAAGCGCATGCGAACTGCGCCACGGGGGCTTTCGGTGGAGCTCCCCATGGGGCCACGAAACGCTGCCCTGGGTGGGGGAACCGCATGCGAACACCCCCACTGGGGCCTTCGGTGGAGCTCCCTATGGGGCCACGAAACGCTGCCCTGGGTGGGGGAACCGCATGCGAACACCCCCACTGGGGCCTTCGGTGGAGCTCCCTATGGGGCTACGAAACGCTGCCCTGGGTGGGGGAACCGCATGCGAACACCCCCACTGGGGCCTTCGGTGGAGCTCCCTATGGGGCCACGAAACGCTGCCCTGGGTGGGGGAACCGCATGCGAACACCCCCACTGGGGCCTTCGGTGGAGCTCCCTATGGGGCCACGAAACGCTGCCCTGGGTGGGGGAACCGCATGCGAACACCCCCACTGGGGCCTTCGGTGGAGCTCCCTATGGGGCCTACGAAACGCTGCCCTGGGTGGGGGAACCGCATGCGAACACCCCCACTGGGGCCTTCGGTGGAGCTCCCTATGGGGCCACGAAACGCTGCCCTGGGTGGGGGAACCGCATGCGAACACCCCCACTGGGGCCTTCGGTGGAGCTCCCTATGGGGCCACGAAACGCTGCCCTGGGTGGGGGAACCGCATGCGAACACCCCCACTGGGGCCTTCGGTGGAGCTCCCTATGGGGCCACGAAACGCTGCCCTGGGTGGGGGAACCGCATGCGAACACCCCCACTGGGGCCTTCGGTGGAGCTCCCTATGGGGCTACGAAACGCGTGAGAAGTGTGCCGAGAGCAGAGGCAAGGAGGGGGAGGAGGGAGGAGGGGGAAGAGGAGGAGAGGAGAGGACGCGGGCACCGTCTCTTCAAAACGAGGACCCAACACCACAGGATGGTTGGGAAAAAGTATGCTCTGGGCGTGTTCCGCCGTCCGCGGCGCCCTCTCGCCCCCGTTCGCGTTTTTTCCGTTCCCTGCTGTGTCCAACAGCGGACCCACATAGCCCCTCGGCTGCATCCGACCGCGGCGTGGTCTCGCGCCGCGGCGACAAAGGACAGCCACGCGGTCTAGTCTCTACAGTTCGTTGAAGCACAGCTCAGACACATGGAGATTATAACCATGCCAGATATTGTGACCGTCAACTTTTCCAGTGGTTGCTGGACGTGGTGCAAAGAAAGCGTCCCCTAGGTCGAACCAAGTAAAACTTGTTTTGACTGACGGGACACGGCCTTGGGACCGGGAGGCAGATTGCATTATCCCCTCCAGCGCATCCGTTTCCTCTTAATCCTTCGTCCTCTTCACCCTCATCCTCCTGTTGCCTTCATTCCTCCTCCTCACCACCTCCACCACCACCGCACCATATTCATCATCATTATCATCATCATCATCAAAAACATCATCATCATCGTTATCATCATCATCACCCAACATCAACATCATCATCATCATCATCACCATCACCATCATCATCATCACCATCATCAACATCACCAACACCATCATCATCATCACCATCATCACCAACAACATCATCATCATCGTCATCATCACCACAACTATCATCATCGTCACCATCACCATCACCGTCACCGTCACCTTCACCATCACCACCAAAACCCTCACGGTCCGCAGGCGAGAGCAGCAGATGGAAGTGTTGCTGCAGGCGACCGAGCACTGTCGACAGCACAGCGTAAAAGTGTCGTACACTGCAGCATGCAAGTGATGGGTGGGTTAGAAGAAGTGTAAATGTAAACGAAACATGCAGCGGCCAGAACAGGAGGAGAGCATTCAACTCAAAGTGAACTGAAGCGCGGCAGTCTGGGGCGAAGTGCGGCCACCGAATCACCACAGCAGCGTTGGACAGTGAACCAGAGAATGGACACTGCCAGGCAAATTAGTGCTGTGACCAAACCGGCAGTCGAGGCATTTTGGTAGGGTGTTAACCAGTGGACCAGCACCCCAAAAATTGTTTGAGCTCCACGCTGTGTCCGCCACGTCTAGCGAGGCACCATACGGCGGGGGGAGGGCGCCAGCACCCCAAAGAACCCGCGATGATGGGTGAAGAAGCCGCCAACGACGCGTGGCATCGCCTGCCGCGGCGAACCACAAACACACACACAAACACACACACATGCACCATGCTTCCCATCTCTCCTCCTCCTCCTCCTCCTCCTCCAACTTCTTCTCCTTCTCTTCCTTCAAATCCTTTTGCTCTTCCAACACCTCATCATCACCATCCTGCTCAACTCTTCCCCTGCTCCTCCTCGTCTCTATTCCTTTCCTCCTGCCCCCCACCCACCCACCCCCGTGGCGGGCCGCGGTTCGCCAGAGCGTGGTCTTCGGCCTGCGGGAGGGGGGGAAGGAGGTCACATCACAGCCCGCGCGCCGCTTCCGCTTCCTCCTCAGGCTACTCCGCCTCCTCCTCCTCCTTCTCCTCATCCTCCTCTTTTTCCTCCTATTCCTCTTCCTCTTCCTCCGATCCCTCCTCCTCCTCCCTTCCTCATCCTCCTTTTCCTTTTTGTCTTGCCCTTCTTCATCCTACTTTCTTCTTCGGATTATCATTGTTGTGCTTATTAGCATTCGTATTCTGATTATTATGATTCGTATGTTGATGAGTATCATGATTGCTATAATCAGTATTAGTGTTCCTATTATTCGTGTGCTTATTATAATGATTATTCGTCTTGTTGGTTTCTAAGACCAGGTTGATGATCATTCCTGTCATTGAATGTTTTACTCTTCTTACTCCTCCTCCTCCTCATCATCATCATCATTATCCTCCTCCTCCCCCTCTGATTATCATTCGTAGTGTCCTGCTTATCCCCCTCCTTTTCCTTCTCCTCCTCCTCCTCCTGTTCCTCCTGCTGCTGTTCCTCCTCCGCCTCCTCCTCCTCCTCCTCCTCCTCCTCCTCCTCCTCCCCTTCCTCATCATCATCATCAACCATCATCATCGCCCACATCATCATCATTAATTATCATCATCATCATCATCATCATCATCATCATCATCATCATCATCATCATCATCATCATCATCATCATCATCATCATCATCATCATCATCATCATCATCATCATCACTACAATCATCATTACCATTATCATCATCAGCATCATCATTCTGACCAGCATCGTCAGCATCATCACAATCACCATCATCATCGCCATAATCATTACAATCACCATCATCATCATCATCATCATCATCATCATCATCATCATCATCATCATCATCATCATCATCATCGTCAGCATCGTCAGCATCATTACCAGCAGTATCAATATCAGCACACACACACACCGCCACCATCCAACGTCGCGATCGTCGTCGTCGTAGTCACCACCACCACCATCATTCTCATCATCATCACGGTCACATGTTCATCATCATCACCAACATCATCAGAATCACCACCATCATCTTCATCATCCACACAAACTCCATATTCAGCAGCATTGGCATCGGCATAGGCTTTGCTCATCGGTAACATCATTCGCAGCATCAGCATCATCATCAAAAGCATCATCATCATCGCGAACATCACCGCCACCACCAACACCATTAACAGCATCAGCACCATCATCACTATCATCATCACCGTCGTCGTCATCGTCATCGTCATCATCAAATTCATCAGCATCATCGTCATCGTCATCGTGGTCGCCGTCATCGTCCTCTTAAAACCTCACGGGCATCGGCGCGTTACCGGCATCGACATCGCCATGGCCACCGGCATCGGAATCGTCACCATCACCAGCATCAAAACCATCACCATCACGATCACCATCATGATCACCATCACAATGATCATCGTCAGCATCATCATCGTCATCACCATCATCATCGTCGGCTTCGTCACCGTCACAGTCACCATCGTCGTCGTCATCGAGATCGTGATCTAGATCGTGATCGTGATTGTCGTCCTCCTCAAACCACATCATCATACGCGATCGAATTCCCCTGACGGCATGACCTCGCGGGAAGGGCTCCTCCGCGTAGAAGGCGGGGGTCGCGGCAGTCGCGGCGACAAGAGGCCGTTCGCTCGATGTGCGTGCCAGGGGGAGGGTGCTGAGACGATATCCAGGCATCTCGATACATCTTCAACCCCAACCGTCCCACGTGCCTCGGCCTCGGCGGAACGAGCGAAAGCTCCGCGACACCGCTCCCTGTTCCCCGAGGCCGGCGCTCGCACCCCGAGCGGAGTGCCCGGGCAGGTCGCACACCGCACAGCTGGCCGTCTCTGCGGGCGACGGCACCACCATACTGAAGGGGTCCCAGGACACACAAATAAATACACACACATAAAAATATTCCCCATATTTTCCCATATTTTCAGAGTTTTTGTCTTCCCCCCCACTTCCCATATTTTCCCACATTTTCCTGGGGATCGACGATGAATTGTGTCTGTGTGTTTTTTCCTCTCCTGATATACTCCAAGGGAGGTTATCGACTACTGGGACGCCGGTTGTGCTTCCGCTGCTCCCTCCGCCGGGCACGGCCAGGGCGCGGCCGAGCGGGCGCCGCGCGTCGCGCCGCGCGGCCGCCTTGGCCGCGCGCGGCCGCAAGGCGGCGCTCGAGACGGCCACGCACGGCGCGTCCAGCCGTCTGGGCTGAAGTGTTCTCCCTCCAATAGAGCACCGAACTCTTTGGGCGTTGCGTAATGGGGGGGTCATAAATGGGGGGGTCAGAAACGGTCCCCTTTCGTGCCCCTTTCGAGCCCCTCCGAACCCCCAGGGGGCTCGTTTAGGTACTGTTTGGGTACCTTTTCGGACCACCCTCGCCACCCCCCCATTTATGACCCCTCCATTACGCAACGCCCAAACTCTGGACACCGGCGCTTGTTCCGGCAGTGCACAGACAGTCGCACAGGAAAACGGATCCTGGTGTATGCGGGACCCTGGCGCGTACATTTTGCGCCGGTTCCTGGGAGACGGAACATCAAGTATACACCACACCGCCCCGACGTCGTCCCCGGCCCTCCAAGTCCTGGGATTGAGAAGCAGCCCGCCACTGGCAGTGTAGATGTCCCAGCTCCCGATTCAAAGGCGCCAGGACTGGGGCTTCTTTCAAGAAGGCCGAGGGGGATGACGGCGCGAGGAACGCTCGAAGTGACTCCGCAGCTCCGTGAACGAAATACTTCGAGTCTACAGTGAAGCTCCGCCCCAAAGTGCACGAGCGCCACAGCTGTTTGAGGAAAGGGTTGGCCGAAAGGCCGGTCCCCTCCCGAACATTCGTCGGTAAAGGCGGCGACGATGAATGAAGGGCGAGGGTAAAGTTTCTACCCCTCCCCACAAGTCCGTCACGCGCGCGCGCAAGCCGATGCCCGCCAGCCGAAAAGGGGCAGCGGCACAGCAAAGGGCAAAGCGGGGGGATCATTCACACACCCCGCCCCGAAACCCGACCCACGAGACCCAGAAGCGAAACGCAAGGGAACGGAGCCGGGGGCACAAGACATGAGCCCACCACCCAACCACTGCAGCTGTGCTGTCAAGCCCCCGTCGGCGAGAAAGATAAGAAAGGACTGCCAGTCACGAGGCCCCCCTGATCACCCGTAGCGCAAGCCTCCCAAAAAACGGGCACCAGCGCCGACGGGGGCGCCGGGGCGTCAGAGGCAGGGCGGAGCAAGGGAACGGAGCAGTCAGGGGGGATCAGAACTACAGGGGGCCCGGGACACACAAAGAAATACACACAAATAAACATATTCCCCATATTTTCCTATATTTCCTGGGTTTTTGTCTTCCCCCCCACTTCCCATATTTCCCCATATTTTCATGAGGATCGACGATGAATTGTGTCTGTGTGTTTCCTCCCCTCCTGAAGAGCGTCGCCCCGAGAACCCGTCGGACGGACGCGGGGCCGCTGCGAAGTGGTTGCAAGGGTACGGCGCTTGAGCAATCGCGTCGCCTGTTTTGTGGATGCCCTCCTCCTCCTCCTCCTCCGCCTCCTCCTCCTCCTCCGCCTCCTCCTCCTCCTCCTCCTCCTCCTCCTCCTCTCCTCCTCCTCCCCTCCTCCTCCTCCTCCTCCTCCTCCTCCTCCTCCTCCTCCTCCTCCTCCTCTCCTCCTCCTCCTCCTCCTCCCTCCTCCCCCTCCCCTCCTCCCCCTCCCCCTCCTCCCCTCCTCCTCCTCCTCCGCCTCCCCCTCCTCCTCCTCCTCCTCCTCCTCCGCTCCGCCTCCTCCTCCGCCTCCTCCTCCGCCTCCTCCTCCACCTCCGCCCGCCTCCGCCTCCGCCTCCGCCTCCGCCTCCGCCTCCGCCATCGCCTCCGCCTCCGCCTCCGCCTCCGCCTCCGCCTCCTCCTCCTCCTCCTCCTCCTCCTCCTCCTCCTCCTAACAATCCGATCATTGAATGAACAATCGGTGTAAAATGTGTAAGACATGTTTGGACGTCTGGAAATTATTTGGCGGTATGCTTCCTCTCCATTAATCGCCTTCCACAACGCTTGTTGAAACCGACTGGGACGGACGCAGACCGATTATCAAACAAAATCTACGTAAGTGTAGTAGCACAAACGGGTGGGCAATCTCGGGACTCGGCGGTGCGTCAGCGGCACGAGTGATCCGACTGGGATGCCCCATCCATTGAGATCATTCTTTCTGAAATCACGAGGGAAACGCGCAAGGGGTACGACTCCAAGTGTGGGCAACGCGTGCAAAATGTGCTGCCACTCATGGTCATAGTCCCAATATGTTGTCACCCATGGTCGAAATCCCAATCAAAACGTCCAAACATACTGCAATACTACAAATGTTGTAGAACATGTCCAGTCTCTTGGTTAGCTCTCTATGCTGCTTTGTACGGTAGAATACGTCATCCCCACGCTAGCACTACAAGGTTTTTCAAGTGCTCTGATGTTGTAAACGGTGTACAATGGTAGTGTGATCAAATCGTCAATGTCTCGTTACACATGGGCGCCCACAGTGTCGTGTTCGCTGCTATCGTGAAGGCGATTCCCACAAAATGCTGCAGTATCAGATGTGCGACACTCGAGCGGCGCATCTCTTGCGCAACGCATGGACAAAACGAATGTTGATCTGAGTGTGCCATTCAGTGGAGCCGACCACCATGTTTGGGAAACGTACGGGTAACGATATTACTTGCTGTGGGCCCACGAAGTACTTACGCGTCATGATCGAACTGGCAGTCGCCGTACTTGGTGCCCGTGTACACCCACATGTTCCATTCCTTGTTCGGTCACGGGCGCAGGCGGTACCCTGAGCAACGGCCTTGCGGTCGAGTTGGACGGCCTCGTCGATTCTTGAAATCCCTTGACCAGGTCCGATCGCAAAACGGCTGTATCGGAGGCGGCGGCGGCGACAGATCTGTGCACGGCTGGGACTGGTTGCGC